TTTTATACATATGAGAACGTAATTACGTGAGATCTTCTGAATATCCGCGAATTCTCTGAATATTCGCGAATTCTCTATGAATTCTCTGAATATCCGCAAATTATCTATGAATTTCCCGAATATTCGTGAATTCTCTATGAATATCCATGTAACATGTGTATATCTATTCATTATTATTCGCGAATGACTAAAATTCATTAAATAAACGTGATGGATATTCAAAGGATCCCAGCTCTACAAAGCTTCAAGTGATTGATTATATTATTGTAGTTAACTGACATAAAATTTATATACGTTTTATGGGTCCCAATTGCCAATACCGAAATTTTTGATTGCGTCTTGTATACTTACAGGGCAGGTGAGGTCTGAATAGTAGTGTGAAATATTTCACAATTCCATTTACTCCAACCTCATTATATAAATAGCACGTAACCTTAAATTTTATCCACTCTCCCTACGCTTGGCTGTTGATGATGACGGTCCTTTATCTTTCATCAGCTCAACATTCGAAGTTGAACTAGCCAATGGAAGTCTCAAGCTTCTTAAAGAATGCTCTACATGGGAATTGTTAAATCTTAAGCCAACCACAGTGCTTGATATACCTGTCCAATTATTTAATAAATATGGAATTTCCTCTCAATTCTTGCAGGAAGTGCTTAATGAAAAATACATCATTCAGACTGTTGGCAAGGATTACTTAGAGAAGAAGTTTAATATTACAGAACCCACTGTGTATTTTGCAAGTGAGACCATGCATTATTCTTGGCCTAAGGGTTGCGGTTAATGTCATTATTTAATTTTAAATGTTTTTTTAGAGGCTGTATTTACACATTACACTTGGTAGACAATATTACTAATTTCTATCTATTTATAGCTATTGTGGGAATTGGTTCACAGAACTTGATACCAGTCCCTGTAGACAATGCAGCACGTATGGATACAGATAAACTTAAAGAGTCGCTCAAAATATGTGTTGAAAAAAGACAGGCTGTCTACGCTGTAGTGGCAATTATGGGATCAACAGAACATGGTGCTTGTGACCCATTGGGGAATATAATAGAGCTTAGAAAAGAGTTTGAGCGTGATCATGGACTAAGTTTTGTCATTCACGCAGATGCTGCATGGGGTGGCTACTTCCGTTCCATGCTTATTAAACCACATCGTAGTTCTCTAAAAGCTCGTCGTCGACCGGGTCTTGAGGAAAGAGATGATTCTTTTGTACCTTTGTTAGCATTACATCCTCATACCGAAAAACATCTGGATAGTCTAAAGGATTGCGATTCTATCACCGTTGATCCACATAAAAGCGGTTATGTCCCATATCCAGCTGGTGGTCTATGTTATCGTGATCAACGCATGAGATATTTGGTTACATGGACAAGTCCAGTCATCAATCGAGCTAATGAAGAAAGCGTCGGCATTTATGGTGTAGAAGGAAGGTGAGAAATGAAAATATAAGTATTAATTTTGTTTATTTTATAATATTTGTTTATGCATATTATTGATTGTTTAGCAAGGCAGGTGCAGCTGCAGTAGCAACTTTCCTTTCTCAAGATGCCATTGGCCTCCATCAGAAAGGTTACGGAATGTTGTTGGGTCAAGCAACTTTTTCATGCACTAAGGTAACGATTATAATATGAAGCGTGATAATATTACTTTTGTTTTTCCCTTATACATATGCAACATTATTATATCACAATAACTAATTTATTTCATCATAATGCTTAGATTTATTGTCATTGGGCTACCATGTCGACTAAAGATGATGACTTTATCGTCACTCCATTTAATATGCTTCCTGCTGAGAAGCTTGGTCCGGACGAAGTTGAGTGTCAGAAACAAGAAATCCGCACGCTTATTGTTGGAAAAACAAATGATCAAATTGTAAACTGTGAAAAAGCCATGGACCTTATCAAGAAACTTGGTTCTGATCTCATGATTAACACCTTCGCATGTAACTTCAAGGTAGATGGCGTGACAAATAAGGATGTTATTGAAGCAAATTATCTCAACCAACGTTTATATGAAAAATTTTCACTAACTACTTCCAAAGACAAAAATGTGGATAAGCGTCTAATATTAACCTCCACGCAATTTGAGCAGAAACATTACAAAAACTGCTTGACAAATTTTAAGAATCGTCTTGGTCTGGAAGGTGACCAGGATCTGTACGTACTAATAAATGTTGTCATGTCTCCCTGGGTTACTGAATTTGAATTCCTTCGTGAATTGACAACAACGTTTAAAGAGACTTTACAGGATATTGTTAAGGTAACTTCAGCTTGGCAGATTACAGTCATTCTTTCATACAGTCACGCACTCTTTTTAATACATTTTGGTACATATATGGGTGCTAATATTTACATTATAGCTTTCAGTCTTTCGTAATAAAGTTAGGCCAGATCTTCATGCATTTGTTATGCAAGGCGTCGAGAAGCTCTATTTAACACATTTGCCCATGTTTCAAATGGAAAATCACCGTCAGCAGGTGATCATCACAGCAGATTTACCAGAAAATATAATGCTTCAATACAGGAATGCTCGTCTAGAGAATTCATCACATGTTTTCTTTCTTGGCAATCAAGATGAGATGGAGCTGGACGATATCGCATGCAATGGAAGTTCCTTTAAAGGGGTTATTTACAGGGATTTTGATCCAAAGACCGAGTATGTAGCTTTTAATCTTAATTTCTTTTCTTTCAATGTTAACATTTCTTTATTTCTTAGAATACCTATTACATGGATCAAGGATTTTCAAGTGACCAACGTCCAAGTGCTCAAGAAACGCCATCTAGCCACAAGATACCAAGATAATTACCCGAAAGACCACATGCCATTCTATCTTTACGGTACCGAACAAGAATTGCATATTGACCACATGCTGCTCAAATCTCCATCAATTCAACTTTCGGCTGATCGTGTTGAGCTCACCCTTACTTCTGGCGAATTGACATCAACTCAGAAAGAAAAAGGGGTTATTGTTCACTTTACTGAAGTTCGTGAAACTGCTATGCAACCATTTCCAGAAATCAAACCATATCCAAAAACCACACAAACTCTTCAAATTCCTTCAATTCTACTTCCAGTTCCAGTTCCACTTCCAGAAAAGCCTGAAGAGCCTGAGAACACATTTTTCTTTCAACATGACCGAAAATTTATGGTGGAACTTTATAACGACCCAATGCCTGACCCGTATCAAAATGGGCCGGGTTTGGACAACGTTGATAAAAAGAACCCAATTGCTCATGGAATGATCGTGCTACCGTCTAGGGATAAGGGATGTTTGTATGCTGATTCTTATATGGTTAATAAGGACCCTACTGCAATGAAAAAGGTTAAGGATGGTGAAATTAAGGATCGACCAGGAATCATACCGGTACATCGAGATTATGCTAAAAAGTTTGATCATAAGGATGAGTTGCATTGGTATGAGGAAAGGGCGGAATAAAAAAATAAACTATATAGTATCGTACTTGGAATTTTTTTATGATTTGTTATATTACACATTTATTTTTTCTTGGCATAAGTACGTGAATTTTTTTTCACTCGGTCACATAATTTTTATTTCGAATTTATGAAAAAAAAAGCTATTCTTATGTACAAATAAGATTAAATTGTTATGTAATATGTATACTGTAAATCAATAAAAATTTTACTAGCTGTAAAGTGTGCAGTTCTCAATAGGAATTTAAATGGGTTTCACCTATTGTTTTTTAGCATGTGTGATGGTTTACCTAGGGTTGTGTTACAAAAATTACAATTTTACATTTCATGTAATTTTGCGTAAGTTTCAGTAACTTGAATTTCATGCAAATTTTACACATGATTTCGTATACCAGCACTATGAAAACTTTAGCCAAAATTATTAATACGCAAACCGTGAAATTTATTGTATTTATAACAATGCAATTTTATACAATAAATGAATTATATTCTTCAAAACAATTGTCAAATTCATACTCATCACTATCAAACATATGAAGAAGCCTGTTTGAAAAGATAATAAAATTGCCTTTCAGTATTTTATTTTCTTGATTTTTGGTTTTTTTTTTTGATTAGTATTTGTATTAGAAGTTTCTTCAATTTTTATATTTCTTTTTTGCAAATATTTTACTAAAATAGATCTTTTTAATTCTTGTGTTTTTAATATATATAAACAAGTTATTTATCTTTTTAGTAAGCAATTGGTTATGTAATTTTGAATGTATAAATTCATAAATGATTAATTTCTCTTATTAGCTGTTAAAGTAGCTGGAATTGATAAGATTTTTTGTGTATTCTGATTTAAAACAAGATACTGTATATTTAATAAATTCTATCAATTAAGCAGTTTTAAGATAAGATTAGAACACTTTAGTTGATTTTGTATTTAATATAAAAAAATATTTGCAAAAGTGGAGAGATATTAAAAACACCTAAAATATAAAAATATAGCAATTCTATTGGCCGTAAAAAGCTATAAAAAATCTAAAAATTTAAAAACTAATACTGTAATTTGATTGGTTAATATAGTATTTTTTTTATATAAAATTTTAAAAATAGAAGTGGGATTATATTAAATATAGAATCAATTTGGAATTGCCTAATATATAATTTAATATATATTAACAGACCAAAAAGACAAAGAATTGATTAAAAGTTATATATAGTGTTCCAAAAATGTAAATCGGATCGGATTCGGATTGTAATCTAATCCCAACCATCAGATTGAATTTAGCTACAAAAATTCGGATTGGGCCTGGATTGAGCAGGATTGGGCCTAATTTAAAATTAGGGTATAAATTTTAGATCAATTATGTCATAAGAGTCCCATTCGAAAAATTTTCTAAAAATACAAAAATCCTATGGAATTATCTGAAAATACCTATTAAGTTATCTGAAATGCTTTAATTTTCGAGTAATTTACCAGTATTTTTCGAATAATTCCATGGGTGTTTTGTAAAATTATGAAATTATGCGCTTCAGAAAATTTGTATTTCAAATTAATGTTTTCCAATGATTAATAGCCGGGTGGACTTTTAAAAAAAATCTTGTGAATTTTGTTTTATAAAATGTTGGCTGGCCACGTTCATTTAAAAGTCTTATGGTAAAAAAAAATCTTGTGAAATTTTTTTAAAAAAAGTTGGCTGGTCAAGTTCATTTAAAAGTCTCATGTCATATAAACTATGACATTAAATTTGTATGGCCTTACAATGGTAGCTTTTTAATACTGAGTAGGGCTTCGTTTCACTTTATTAAGTACAACAACGTAATAAATAATA